CATTCTCCTCTCCAGTTCTCTTGCTGTTGTCTCCTTTTTTTTTCCTTTCCAGCTCTCTTGCTGCTTTGCTTTCTGATTCATTATTTGAAGTAAAACTTTTCTGATGAAGAATCACAGACATGATCAATATGATATATTCTTTCCTCAAACACAGACATTTATCCCAAATTTGGGGCAGGAGCTTCTGAGTAATGTGACTTAAGAGTATCTGTTGAATCCCTGTAGTTTGAGCAGGACACTGATTACTACTCTGATAATATTGTTCAAACTTAAAAAGACTGTCGGTTATGTGGAAAAGATAAGCGGGAAGACCATTCTGAATTTCATGTGAGGAGAAAGCACATGGGAACAAAATAAAATCGCTTAATAGCGAAGCCCTGTAAAAATAAACAAGGCTAAAAGCTGGAGTTGTATCTATTATGGCATGCGTTGCAGGAGATCAACACTTAGATATTTTCACTCATGATCTCTTGAATAACTGGGAAATATATCAAATAAATACTGTTTATATAGGCAGACAGATCGATAGATGTAAAATTTCTAGAGCAGTGGGAGCTGTTTAAAATCACACCCCTGAATTTCTTTCACTCAGATGGGATGAGATTTTCAGAAGTAATGAGTAAACTTGAATGTCTACATTCTGCTGTCATAAAGGACTTGTTCTAAGCCCTGGCTGTAAATTACATTAATCTCTTTCCCTAAATATATTCCCGGCTAGGCACCAAAAAGAGAAGCATGGGACAGAGAGGCATAATTAGCACTACATTCATTGCCAGGGTAAAAATGCCTACATATGTGTGCCTTGTTAATCTTCAGTCTCTCTCGTTACCCCAGCACACCACATGGAGCACCATTTACAGGTACCTGTACGTAATGCCAAAAAACAGGAGTCTACCCAGGGCCTAAAGGTGTTACCATTATTAAGGATAATACCAGTTTCAGAACTACAGGCCTGTTCTCACTTTTTTACCTCGTGCCTGTGATATCAAATAATCCCAAGAAGAGAAAAAAACTATAATTCTTTCTTAGTTGGATGAAATATTGTTTTATGCCATATGTTACATATCAGCAGCCCTTTATTAATGTGGTATGTGGAAGTAGGATAGATCTTCCAAACGAGAAAAGAATGAGCTTATCCCTACAGAGACAGAGAGACTCTTACTTTATTAGAAGTCAGGCACATGTAGAATCCTTTCTGATGGATATGTAATTTCAGTTGGAGTGGAAAAAAAAAAAAAAAAAAAAAAAAAAAGAGGACAGGAACGTTGCCTTTCTAGGTGCAGTTTGTGTGGTCACACCAGATACATCTTTTCTGTTTGTTTCTGGGCTCTACCAAGGGGCCTCTGGGAATGTCTTGGAGCTACGTGTCAGGTGTTGACAGGAGGACTGCTAATTTTGCCACTGTGCCAAGCTAAACAGTGATTTTGGTAATTTAACACACTTAATAGAAGCACTCCTGTAGCTGCTTGATTTTTTTTCTTAATATTAAGCATATATGAGATTCATATTTAGTATGTCAAATAATCTTTCTGTAATGATGAATGTGGACATGGGATGAAACAAGAGGAAGTTTCAGTATCCAAACCCCCAAATTGTGTTCAAGTGCTACAAAGTAACTGCCATGCTAACAGTTTTGTCTTTCCGGCCTCATTTATTTCATCAAAACACAACATCTATGGAGAAAAACTGGGCAAAAACATTTCCAAAGTGTTTGTTGGTTTTCTCAATAATGAACTGAACTTTAATATAATAAATACAAAATAGTAATAAATTACAGTTGCACAATTTCTTACAGAGTTTTTATTAAGATCAAGACTTATTTGTTCAGGCTAGATTTATATAAATAAATCACAGTACATTTTTACTTGTGTTTAGAAGTTGTAATACGTTTTACAAAATTAAGATTTCTTTTGTCCCTCAAACCATCACTGCGAAAGGAGTCATGCATTATTTCTACTAAACTAACAAAATATCCACCTAATTGAGAGAGCCTTGATACAGGTATGGCTCTACTCTCCAAAATTAGACATGAAACACAGAAATACCAGGACTATTTATTGAACAGGAAAGAATAAAGTATAGTACAATGTTCATGTGCTATTAAAACTAAAAGTATACCAAAACAACACACCTCTCTTCACACACCTTTGCAATGGGTATTAAAAATGACAGCTGGTCAGCATGCAACTGAGTAAAATATTCCAGTTTTACAATGTCTACATCTGAGCAAAAGAAGGAGGAACTAAAAACTCTAGACAAAACAAAGGAACAAATGAACAGCCCAGATGCTTACAAGTCCTCAGGTCATCTTCCCCTCTTGATATGTGTGCTGCCTTCAGCCCGCAGACAAAACCTTTCCTGGGTGGTGTCCTCCACTGTCATCTGGATTAGTGCACCTCATGGACCTTCAAGGAGATGGAGGTCCTCTCAGAGAAGTGCAGGACCCTGGAGAACTTCCAGCTGTAGTTCCTTGCCCAGCCCACTCCATTAGAAATTAAGTTGTAAACACAACTCTTGGAACTACTCAGACTTGAATGTGCAGTGCCACTAAAATACAACTCACACCTCACACCGCTGGGTTTACCTACCACAAGGTTGTCACTTTAGGACAGAATTACGACTGCAAGCAAGGCTTGCCACTAACTGCAGCAAGATGCAGGGTGATCCTGTTGCAAAGTCTGTCCTGCTGCTCTTTTTCCCAGCACAGGGGGCTTCTATTACTTTCTACAGTATTGTGGATTACTTTCTCTACGTTTTTTTTTCTTCTAGACAAGAAAGGCATTATTTTCTCACTTGATACTGAGATGTAATCACTTGACAATGCACTGTTCTAAAGGGAAAAAAGCATTTAATTGATGACACTTCAGATGGAGTCACCTAATCTAATTTTTTTACTTCTGTCCAAACAAAATGCATCAACAGTAATTTCAGATCGGTTTCTAACTGGGTAAACCAGATTTTTCAACTGAATTTCTAAGTCCCCATTTATCATTCACTACTTTTAAACTAAGTTTACAGCAATTTTATTTTTTTAAATTGCAGATATGTCCCTGCAGTGCTTGAATGTTGCCAGGTGATAAATATGGTAAACATGTCTCTTATGTCACTGACTTTGGGTGCTCATTATAATTTAGCTGCATACCATGTTTGCTTGTTTAAAAACACACAAAGGAAACCAAGCCAAACCAAAGAATAAAAACAACCAAAAAGCCCCCTAACAATCACCCCATCAAGCTATGAAGAGTGGACTAAAATACCCTCTTCTTTTTCATTCTTTTGCACTGCCCTTTACTGTTTCATTTTGGACTGAACCAACAGTTTGCCCTGCCAATTAGACCTCTAAGAAACAAGTTGCTCACACATACTGCTTTGGTGTTTTGTGGATCTGCTGGCATAGAAAGCTCAGGTGTGCAATGGCTGGTAAGAACAGTTTGAGCACTGGGTCTTTTATACTACATATTGGCTTTCTGTTCTGGTACTCCCCACCTCCCCAGCTCAAGATGCATGTCTTTTTATCCACTGCCAGGATTACTGACAGGGAAAAGTGAAACTAAAGAGAGCAGGAATGCTTTTAATGTCTTGTATTTTCAGTGAAAACAGACAAAGAAATATTTCAGCACTCAACTGCAGAAGAGTTGTGCTGAGAGAGTTTTTTCATGGAAATATCACACAACTGTCCATTGTACTTGGCCTCAGTGTCAGTAACTTGGAAGGCTTTTCCATTGCCACTCACTGCTTTTCCATAAAACAACATCTTGTTACAAAAAACTAGAAGTTAAAAACTAAAATTTAGTAGTACGTTGGTAAAATGAGTGAAATGGGATTAAAATCCTGCTGAGATCTACTTCTAAGGGATTTCCTCTTCTGTTTCAGGGCTATGATACATTTCATAAAGCATAATTATGCATTCACAGCAAATAAGAAAACAATTGAGGGTCTCAGCTTTGAAATCATTCTTGTGAGTCTACTACTAATTTACCTCTGAGAATCACAGTTCTGAAAAGAAAGACTGAACAGTATCGGGACCATAGTTTCCTCTGAGTTTCTAGTGTAACTATCCTCTATTTCTTCCAGTGGCTGTTGTATTGTTGTCATACAGTCCAAAGATAGCAGCAGTCTACTGGGAAACCAGAACCATAACATGAAAATATTTCAGGTCTAGGGAATATCACTGGTTAAATGGAGTATAAGGGTGAAGAGTGAAGTATCCAAATATAGAAAATTGCTATCATTCCAGAGATACACTACTATGAAAAGGCAGATATTCATAAAAAGCACATAGTAATGCCACAGCCCGAGTAACACTTCGCAACTCATGAGACAGCAAAAATTAGAATATAATAAATTTAGGGGGTTTTCCTCATCCCCAAGCCTTCGAGGTATGCTGGATTCCACCTAAAATGCTCACTGTCACAGAGATTTCTTTCTTATTTTTTAGTAGAACTATATTCAAAATAATTCTTTTGAATTTTGAGCATTAAATAAACTGAGTATGTTAATCAAATAAAAGAACCCTAACCCACTGACAATTATAATGATACTGCTCTTCAGTTGATGCCCCTTTGAATTGCTAGGGACAAATCCCAGAAAGGGACAAATCCTGCACTGCTTGTGTAGGTGCTTTCCTTTTCACAGAACTCTTTTGCTAATGTTGCAGTGGCAAAGGTGTCGCTGCTGTCTCTGCATTGCAGGCAGGGATGCATGTATAAAGATTTGTCCAGGAAATCAAAAAACTTCACTCCAAAGCAAGAGCTCCTCCTTCTTTGCTCATTCTCATCTCCCCATGTTGACTCTGGGGAGATGAGCCTGGGTAAAGAGTGCGGGATTTTGAATCAAATTTTTTCTAGAAAAATTTGGAGGAAGAGAGTGCATGGTTAAATAAGTGACAAAAAATTATCTCAGAGTCTCTTTTTTTGGGGCGTAGATTTTATTGTGTGAAAGAGTCCAGTGCTTTGATTTATTTTCTTTTAATGGTCAGAATTTGCCAGAATTTACATTGCCACCTGTGACATGCTTCCAACATTTTGCAGTGTTGTGGACCCAACTAAGAAATATTGACTGGAATATCATCTACAAAGGCTGAGAACTAAAAACCTCCATGTTATACAGATGATTATCTTCTTTCTAAAAGAACATACTGCCATTACAAATACAATATGCACCTTGTTCTCACCCAACACAACTTTTTTACAGTTTTTTCACATTTGAAGGATTTCTTCAAGCAACCATATTAATTTGTTTTCATGTAAGTGAAAGGAAGCACCAAATGAGACTGAGGACGCATTTTGTCATCCAAAAATAAATGTCTGACCATAATTATTCTTGAAAAAATATTTAGAAAGCTATCCATTCACAATACTGCACCTTTTTTGCAAATACAAGGACTGTGTTTGTTGCTGCTTCTCATATTTGTTGGTTTTCGTTGCTATCATTTTGCTTGTAAAACCTGGGTTATTCTAATGAACAGAAATGATGATTTGAATTTGGGTAATGCTTATGACCATATAAATAATCTATCAGTTGCAATAATGTCAGTTGGAGGATCAATGCTACAAGTGGATAACATTACGCTACTTGAAACCAATAGCTCTTCACACAGTAGAAGACTGAGGGTCCTATTCAGCAAATATCCAGGGTCCTATGGCTGTGCCCACAGAGGTTCCAGAAGTTCTTGCTGAGTCTAATCCTGATTCAGGAACCAAAATGATATGCTGTGTATGTATTTCTCTGCACAGCCTGGATGCGCTGGACACCCTCCCCCACTTGATTCCTGGGAAGGAAAAAAATATGTCTCTGTTTAGCTCAGTGACATGAAAAGCAATCCACAGTAATGAAATCTAAAGAAGTTAGCCAGGCATGTATGAAAAGAACAGGATGCCTGTAAAAAGGTAAGAGCTGTCAAAACCTAATTGTGGGCTCTAGCTGCAATGAAATTTATCAAAGAGGGAAGAGAGGTTGGATATAAGGATGTACACAACTTTTGATAAGAGACACTCCTATTCTGGGCAGTAACCACTGAGTTACTCCTACAGATGAAAGCTTGGTGAGGTGTTTTCCAAACCCAGCTCCCAAATGCCCAGGTCAGCATTTCAGGTATGGCACTTCAGCTAGTATTTAGCTTGTAATTGAGGGCACACACAGGCAGAGGTTCCTCACTTTGCTCCATCTTCTTTCACAGATAGTTGCATGTTGGCAGCACCTGTGTTGTGCAGATTGCCTTCCCACTCTGACTGCTGAAACTGTGCTGCTGTGGTCCCCAGGCACCAGTTAATGCAATTACTTATGGACACAGGGAGAGACTGTGGCATTCTTCCCAGTTTGTAGCATCTTCCTATTGCCTGAATATTATTTATGGAACTGCCTGGGGTCAGCACTCGCAACCAAGCAGGTAAATCTTCAGTTGCACCACTAGTAACATGGCCTCACTCTGATGCATAAAGTACCTTCAGAGAGGCTTACAGCATCACTCTTGGCTTGTTTCGGATACTATGGTCTTTCCTGTCCTTCAAAAATGGGGATAACACTGTGAGTGTTCACAAACATGATAGTTTCTTTTGACTGGGATTACTGCCTGACATTAAGCAGTGAGAACAACAATGGAAGTAAGTCATGGCAACTCTTAGGAAGCAATTTAGTTAGATCTCTGATGAATTTTTGTGTCTCATGAATCAGGATTAGTATTCCCTGTATTGGGGAGAGGATTAGACAGAGGGATTAAAAGGACATCTTTACCCCACTGGACTCTGTGGAATAGCCCCTGAGGATATGGCTAAGAAAGAGTTCAACAGGAATGCCAAATTTCTGCTGAATAGGTTAAAAGGGTGAGGAAGCCTCTTCGGCAGCCATCCAAGCGCAGAAGACCTGCATAACATTCCTGCTGAATAGGGCCCTAAAGACAAAAAACAAAACAAAACAAAACAAAACAAAAAAACATAGGAACCTTGAAAAGCTTTTCTGATTGTGTCGCTTCTTATCAGCACCTCAGATCTCCAGAGACACTTAAACATATTTTTTTCAGTGCAGTTAGGCATCCTTTGAGATGTGCTAGTGCCATGGATGATATATTGTTACAAGAAAAGAAGTAAATAAGGTTGTTATATATTAAAAAAATAGGTCTTCATTGTTCTGTAAACAAGGTCCATTTCTTTTTATCAATTATCATTGAGAGTTAACCAAGATCATATTTAAAACACAAAATCAAACCCTTAATTGAGTGTATAATGTTTTGTGTTGTCATACATATATCTTATAGACATTAGTTACTTTCTATATCCCTAAAACTGAAAGAAGCAAACTTAACTTTCACTTTATGTTTGACTTTTGATATTGGTGTTTCCAAGCCCTTTTCTAGGATTTACTTCATGCATGTAGATCTTGGGTTTGTTCATAAAATTTTATCCAACCTCTAATGCCTTATGGAGGAATATTCAGAATTAATGTAATGGGGAAGTAGGAAATTAAAGTCTTACCTCTACAAGAGGATGCCAGTGAGCAATGGGTTTCCGAGGATATGAGAGCATTTCGTTCCAGTGGTCACGACCTAGACTTTCTGCATCGTTGCCTACTTGACATACTCCAATGACCTCATTGTGACCTACACTGTGAAAATGTTTCATAATATTTTTTTCTAAAAATTTTACCTTTAGAACTATACCATTCGCATATTTCATTAGAAACATTAATAACAGATTTTTAGAATTAATTCTTGCATGAAAAATATCATGTACTATAAAATTCATAGGTTTGCTCTTTGCATTTTCCACTAATCAGAACAATTTAATATTCCCCCCCTTTATAGCACCCCCTGTGTGTCTGTGTGCATTTGTTTCTTATTTTTGCATGAAGAATATAAAAGCTTCTTTGTCTCTGTTCTGTAATTATCTGCAAATAAAAGTAAACTCTAAGCCACAGTTTTATAACTGGAGGCCTGTGTGTGAGGGGTTTGAGTAAATGTGCTCAAACAGAACATCAGTGTGTAGAGTGTCTGATTATATGCTCACTTACTTCAGTTCTGGTAGACGTATATGCAGTGTATTAATGTCAGTTATGAATGAAAATCTATATTTTGAAAAGTAGAAAGGAAATTCTGCCTGGGAAAACAAAAAATTTGAGCCTTCTACCCAGATCAACATGAAATTAATTCTCCACTTACAGAGCAAAAATAATAACTTTCTTCCTGAACTCATATCTGCTGTACAAGATTTTATAAGCCAATAGTTGATGTCATTTTACAGCTACAGGTATCTCACCGGTCATAATCCATAACTGCTATCGACAAGTTAATTTGGTCAATGTTTTCTGGAGGGACATCAAAGACTATGGCTTCATTGTAAACAGGATTAAGGGTATTCCTCTTGGTGGAAGTTTTTCTTTTCTTTAGTCGCCTTCCTTCACACATTAAAGAAACCTTCACGTAGGGATCTGTGTGAATCATAAGAACAGTGTTGATTTTCTTTTGACGCTTTTAAGCAAACATAAATGGCAAGTGAAGGGAGCAGACTTCTTGTATTGTCCATACCTGCTTGCAGAATTCGTCTTCTAGACCTGACTGGAATTTGAGCTTCTTTCTTACCATGGAATGCTTGGGATGCAGTGGAGCTTTGAAAGCTTTACCTGGTTGACTGCTTATAATGAACAGTTTAGGTGAAAGAAGCCCCTTGTCATGTACAAACTTCTCAGAGGGTATTAAAATATCCATTGAACAGTGTTATACATGAGTATTCTATACAACAGCCTGTGTATCAGCCTATTTATAGCAACCTAATTACTTGTTAGATTGTAGCACAGACAGAAGACAACGTTTTTCACAATGGGATTTACTGATGTATGGTTAAATATAATTCAAAATGTAACAATTAGTAGCTTGTATTTCTCAAGACAATTATAATTATTTTTAAACTCATGAATACAGTAAAAAAAGAAAAGCTATTTATTTACAGACCCTTTCTGGGAGCTCTACAACTACCTGTCAGTATTTAGAAGTAATTTATTAATTTTTGCTTAAATTAGTTTATAATTTTCATTATCAAATTTTGAAAGAGTGGCTGAAAGGACTCTGGGATGTTCAATTCTTTGTCAATATGCCAACAAAAGCAGCACTGGTTCAGTGTCTCTTGGAGACTGGCAGAGAGGGTCAGTCTGCCTCTGTGCCATAGCCATAACAGTCTGCTGCTCAAATTCCCATTGTTAGGAATGAATTTTAGCCAGTCATGCTACTCTGAATCACAGTGGCTTTAGAAACAATTATCCTGCAGTCTACCTAAGAGCAAAAGTGTTTTAAATTGTTGGTTGCAACTGAGCAATCTAAATTATATTATTTATTTCTCACAAACTCCTGTACTCAGATAACTCAAGAGCTCAAATAACTCAAGTATAAGAATCCTCTTCTCAAAAATCACTCTGGGATTTGACAGGGTTGAATCTCTCAGGAGGGAAATGGGACATAAATCTACACTGAGTATTAAATTAATTCATACCTGATGCTCCTGTGATATCCATTGCTTTTAAATTTCTTGCCTTTATTATTGTAATAGTTAGTCTACCAGCTGTTGGAAGATAGCAGAGTGAAAACATAAGGTCACCAAGATCCACGTTATCCTGTTCCAAGAAAAGAGAGATAATATGAAGCAATAATAAGAATTTTCCTATACATAACAGAAGCTAAAAATATACTTTTGGGGGTCTACAGTTTGCAGGCAAAAGGTGAATTCTCATTCTGAAACACATCTGAAAAAACAGACATCCATCCGTATTCAAGATTTGAGTCGCTACGTTTGTTGCTGGACCACCAAAGTTCCCAAGGGTAAATGAGGTTTTAGTTTCTAGCACTCAGTCCTTGGAGATGACACTCATTTAAGTAATGCGGTACTGTAAGGCACCGGAAAATCTTTGTCCTGTTTTATATTTTGTAGTAATTTGTTTGTTCCATTGACAAGCAGCCACAGATGTCTGTGCCTTCCCTTCTGGTCTGCAACAGGATACCCACAGAGAGTTTCACAGAAAAAAAAACATCAGTTGCACAGGGCAAAGTCTTATGCAACTCTCAAGTTTGCATAAACTCAGGTATGATATGTCTGAAGTGTCTATGGCAATGGGACAGTCTCCACCAGCTGCAGAGTAAGGGCATTACTTCCTGTGCCTGGAGCAGACAAGCTCCCTTAAGTAAGCTTATCCACCTGTTTCATTGATTTACAACCCTTTCCTGTGTTAATGGCATCAGAGTTTCAGAAAGGTCATAGCAAGTGTGCAAATCCTATTTGCAGTTACAAAACATTGTTTTCTTGGTTGTTTTTTTCTTTGTTGTTGTTTTGTTCTTGGTGGTTTGGTTTGGTTTTGGTTTTTTGTTTTGTTAGTTGGTTGGTTGGTTTATTAAAAGGGAAATTCAAGTCTTTCATTAAAAATATAGTGAATAAAGGATTGTATTAAATTATTTCTGTGATTTGATTTGCATTTTTTTTGACTGAGCAATGAATTCATACTTTCATAGGCTTGTCTCCTGTAACCTAATATTTCATTCTTGACTTCAAAAACTTATCCTATCTAGTAAATTCAAAGCTACATTCCAGGTTTTACAGGGAGGGAAATACAGCTGTTGTGGAGTGTATCTTGCCCACTTAGCTTTGTGCCATAGCTCCTCTCCTTTCCCAGTTCGGCTACTTCTGTATCAGTCACCAAAAAATGAAGGGTGGCGGATGATATAGAAGGTGAGTGAAGATACCTCTCAAAACAGCCCCTAACACAGGTTTGTCTCTGAGCTGTCTGGCTGCTGTACAGATCAATGCCCAGAGCCTGAGTAATTATATTACATAGTTTTTCTGAGTTACTAGCAGAGATAATCAGGACAGAAAATGTTGCTGTCACAGAGCTGTAGAAAAACCTTGTGTCAGAAGGGAATTTTAGGTGTTGCTTGATCCAACCCGTTGCACAAGAGAGGCATCTTCGCTTTAGCTTTCAGTTCATTCAAGGCAAAAACCCAAAACACATACATTAATTTAAAAGTAGGTCCTTTCCTTGTGCTGTTATTTAAGAGAGATGCTGCCAAAGAAGGAAAAGGTTGATATTATGGGTCCTTTGTCAGGAATAACCAGCTTTAAACCCTTTAAACCCATCTTTTCTATTCTAAAGGACAGTGCTTCACATTGGCTGTAAAGCTAATAATGGCTGTGACAATATCGAGATAACTAATATGAGTCACCCAGTTTAGTGTCTCTTGATGGTGCATACTTGGAAACAGACCTGCTGCAACAAACTGTGTCACTGACACTTTGTGAGAGGATCAAAGTGCTGTTTGAGAAGGTGATGCTGTAAGAAGTATTACAGGCTAAAGCTATGTCAGCACATCTAGGAGGAATTTCTCTTGGCTGACACCTGCACTTAACATTATAGGAGGAATTTCCCAGTGATCAGCTGGAGCTTGATACCTATAGCCAGGAGAACAGGAAGCAAAGTTTTCATTTATCCTTCCCAATGTAACAAAGAGCAACTTCCAGCATGGAAGTGTACTTCCACAGCTCTGGGGTGCTGAGATTTGTAGCTGTGAAATCCACTTATGCTACAGCTCTGAGGGGAGCAGGATTTCATAAGCCATTTAAAGAAATGATTGGCTAAAGCCATCTTTTTTGAGAATTTGTCAGTCTAGAAAATTTTTGATAGAGAAGTTATTTTCAATGAATTGGTCACTAGCCTTCAGAAGAAGACGGCATTGGTGAATTACCCAGGTTTTCCCTGACCATAAAGAAGCCCATTAGGCATCTGTTGCTATAACTGCGTATTTTGGCATTCCTCAATATTGTCAGGCATAGCAATGTCACTCTCTATTCAACTCCAGTGCTCCACATGGTGACTAGGAATTCATTCTCTGAATAGTGTAAATGCTTCACTGTTACTACCAAATATAAGGGTTTCCATTCCAGACTTGGTCATCCTGAATGAACACTTTAAAAACTTGTTATGAATTCTTATCAAGAAGTTCATAGGTAAATGTATTACTATAAAATTGATTCATATATAAATGCCAAGAAAAATCGTATTATCACAGAATATCCTGAGTTGGAAGGAAATCACAAGGATCATCAAGTCCAGCTCTTGGCCCCGTACAGGACACCCCAAGAATCACACATGTGCCTAAAAATGTTGTCCAAATGCTTCTTGAACTCTGTCAGGTTTGGTGCTGTGACCACTTCTCTGGGCAGCCTGCTGCAGTGCCCAACAACCCTCTGGGTGAAGAATCTTTTCCTGATATCCAGCCTAAACCTCTCCTGACACAGGCTCATACAATTGCCTCAGTCCTGTCACTGGTTACCAGAAAGAAGAGTTAAAATATGTTAACCTTCTGCATAAATGAACTGGTTGGATGGTTGGGCCCAGAGAGTACTGGTGAACGGGGCTGCATCCAGTTGGCAGCCGGTCACCAGTGGTGTCCCCAAGGGATCAGTGCTGGGCCCAGTCCTATTTAACATACTTATCAATGATTTGGATGAGGGGATTGAGTCCATCATCAGCAAATTTGCAGACGACACCAAGTTGGGAGAGTGTCAATCAGCTAGAAGGCAGGAGGGCTCTGCAAAGGGACCTGGATAGGCTGGAGAGTTGGGCCGATTCCAATGAGATGAAGTTCAACAAGGCCAAGTGCCGGGTCCTGCACTTTGGCCACAACAACCCCCTGCAGAGCTACAGGCTGGGCACAGAGTGGCTGGAGAGCAGCCAGGCAGAAAGGGACCTGGGGGTGCTGATCGACAGGAGGCTGAACATGAGCCAGCAGTGTGCCCAGGTGGCCAAGAAGGCCAATGGTATCCTGGCCTGCATCAAGAACAGTGTGGCCAGCAGGAGCAGGGAAGTGATCCTTCCCCCACACTCAGCACCTGTGAGGCCACAGCTTGAGTATTGTGTTCAGCTCCGGACCCCTCAGTTCAGGAAGGATATTGAGGTGCTGGAGCGGGTCCAGAGAAGAGCAACCAGGCTGGTGGAGGGACTAGAGCACAAGTCCTATGAGGAGAGGCTGAGTGAGCTGGGGTTGTTTAGTCTGGAGAAGAGGAGGCTCAGGGGTGACCTCATCACTCTCCACAACTGCCTGAGAGGAGGTTGTAGCCAGGTGGGGGTCGGTCTCTTCTCCCAGGCAATCAACAGTAGGACAAGAGGGCAAGGGCTTAAGCTCTGCCAGGGGAGGTTTAGGTTGGATATTAGAAAGAAGTTCCTTACAGAGAGAGTGATCAGGCATTGGAATGGCCTACCCAGAGAGGTGGTGGATTCACCGTCCCTGGAGGTTTTTAAGATGAGGTTGGATGTGGCACTGAGTGCCATGATCTAGTAATCACAGTGGGGTTGGACTTAATGATCTTGGAGGTCTCTTCCAATGCAGTTAATTCTATGATTCTGTGATTCTATGGTTAGGAAAGAATGGATCACATATGTTGAATGCAGTGTCAGGAATTATTCAATAATATACTGGTCCACAAACTTTGTCTTACATGGGAAAATTAATTGTCACCTGCACTGTGATGTGTTTTTAGCAAATGCTGCAATGACAATACTTTGTTAATGCTTTTTGAAAAATTGCATTGGGTATTATACAGGAAAAACATTGTTATACTGGAAAGAGAGCCTCTGATTTCTTCAGTCTTTTCCAATTCTAGAAGTTTTGGTGTTGTAGCAATGGGTCACAGATGACTGTGAGATTGTTCATAAACCAGTGCCAATAGTAATCTAACCAGGGCAGTCTGAGAATGTGACTGAAGGGAAGCTTGCAGGCCGCTTTTTGGCATGCAAATCCTTCTCCAAGTCTGAAAAAGAAGCCCTGTCTTCTCACAGTTTCATTTTGACTTGTAGGGAATGAATGACTACTCCATCATACTGGCTACTAGTAAATGTTTCCTTAATTTTGCTAAGACAGATTTTCTAATAGAACCTTTCCCCATGCCCTGGCTGTTCCTCCTTGCTTACCCATTTTTGTAATAAACGGGCAACATTTTCAACAGTTCCATTGTAAATTTTGCTGTTGGGGCCTCAAGGTTCGGTTAGAGAGGTTTAATGAGGGAATGTTCTTTAAAGAGTGTCACAATCTGTGACTACACCACAGAATTTGCATGTGTGTGCGCACCTATCTGAATAACTGCAGTGAAGCAGGCAAAATGCTCTGACTGGGGACCAACGATGTCACAGGTGGGACCCTTCCATCCAGCAAATACAAGTTTTTACTATACATTCAGTTTTTCACAGAACCAAAGCCCACATAACAGTGCACAGAGAGGATTAGTGAACATCGTGACAAGTTTAAAATCACTGAGCTACATGGCTTAAGCCATGGATTGTCACTAAAGGTGTGCTGTATTAGCAAGAAATAGCTTCAAGGAACAGAATTAACAAGTATAGAAGGCAGGATCTTCTGCAAGGATAATGTTCCTCTTTGAATTCAGTACTTATGTGTTACTATGTATGCTTGACAATATGTAGGAATGTATTACACTGCCAGAACCATTTTAAAATTCCTGCATAGGAAGAAATGTCATAATATAGTAGATTATCAAGTCATGCACGTTGCACATTCAAAGATATGTGTCTAACTTCATTCAGTGTGGTAGTAATACCATACTGTGCATGTT